GTTCGCATCCTGCCATGCTTTGATTTTCGCTGCTCGCTGCTCGATGCGCATTAGCTGCTTCGCGTGGAACCACAACAACACACGCCGCAGCTGAGAGTGGGCCTAGACAGCTGTCGGCGCCCAACCCGCTTCCCTCAGCCTAGACGGCACATGGGCGTCGACGTTATTCGTGGATGCTGGGCAGAACCGCCGAGCAAGCGGCCGTTGACAGCCAGCAATCACCTGAGATTCGACCCGACCAAACGTCTTTGCGCTCATCACCCAGCGCCGTGGGCCGAGCGCCCCAAACACAAGGGATACCTTGCGTGAATCCGGACGTTATGGAGCAGCACCGCGGACCACCTAGACGTTCAAATCTCACGCCGCTCGCCTGTGCCGCTCTTCCTTTGCATCCTCGCCTGCGCCTAAGGATTGTTTTTCATTTCCTGCTGCATGGTGATGGGATGTGCTGACCGCCCAGAAGCACAAGAATCAGCCGGACTTATCACAGACTGCCATTGTCTGCCATCCAAGCCATTACACTGGGGTCGCTATTGGTCTCTCCACACGCACGATGCACCTCGTCCGCAATAGGGACTGCCATTGTGCTGGGCTGTTCGCTTCGCGGATTAACCTGCAGCAACTCGGTAGGATGCGTTCCTTATCAGCAGCCAGACCGCTTTCGATCACTGCTTACTGCCCTGTGCTCCACATCCTGTACGGCGGGACGAGCGGACATGGGTTTTCGAGAATAGGTTCAATATATACAACTCCGTACCGCATAGCTGTCACCCTTTTTACCCCTCGCGTTTTTCTACGCGCGTGTGGAATTTCTTGCCAATTCGATTCCTTACATTTTGATGCCATTGCACACTCCTTCAGCCGTCATTTTCTAATCAAGTACGACCACGTTCTCAGCCGGCGCATCTCGTTCTTTCCGTGTCTGGATTCACGCGGCAAAAATAGCATTCATCCGAATATACGAGGGAGCGAACCCCAGCATACTCCAAGCCAATTTCCACTGCCTCCCGACGTATCTCTTAATCTTTCGAAGCCCATGCCAGGAACTGATAGAACCTTTGGTGTATTGGAGATATCAAGCGACATTGCCTGAACAAGTCACACAACCTGTCGCCGATCGAAATTTTGCTATCGACTTCGAGAGGAGTCAGAGGACATGTCAGCACGAGGCGCTCGTAGTCGCAAGGTACAACAGAAAGAAGTTGAGAAAAAGGAAAAGAAAATTGCTGTAAAAGGAAAGGTGCCAGAAGCCACACAGGAAAGCCGAGATGGATTTGCGGAATGGCGTCCATCACCAAACCCCAGCAATCCGAGAAGTGGCATAACACGCTCCTTCACAGTATCCAGCAACAACAGCCATACGACATCTCGGAGTAGTTCTACGCACGATGGCGGAAATGGTAGCAGGCCGCGACTAGCCACCCTTCCGTCTGACGTCTCCTCTGGATCCCGACCTCCGCCAACGAAATCATCGAAGGCAGAGTCAGTCTCAGACACATCTTCAAAAGGCAAAGAGAAGATAAAATATCAGGCAAAGGGCAAAGACACAAAGGCGCCTCGTGGTAGAGGCGGAGGAGTGCCGATCAAGAAGACCGTCGCGCCGTCACCTGGCCCTCCCGTCTTCAGATCTGAGTCGTCAGCGGGTTCCTACGCTCTTCCGCCTGACCAGAAAACATGGTTGAACTTCAAGATATGGACCGACGGAAGAGAAGAACTGCGTCCATACGCCGGGTTTAGCTATGACGAAGATATGCAACACGGCAGCGTACTCATATACTTCAAAGAGGAAGTAGATGAGGACCACCCAATCCCCTCGATTCGGGCAGACTTGGATATCCTCCAAAGCTCGGGATCCACCTGGCTGAGCAATGCCCTGCTGTATAGTCTCATCGATGATAACGACGTGGATGACTGGGCTCTCTCGGAAAATGCAAGTTCACCATCTCAGCCTTTCTCGCCGAATTTCCCACAGCCAGCACAACGACGAATGCTAGGGCCCACATCACCCGGTGGACGGTCTCCACCGCCCTTCGACATCGATCAGTCACATACCAGCATAGATTCTCGGGCTACTTCTAGGGCTTACCATCCATCTGAGGCCTCTCATGGGCGCCAACCTAACTCGCCGCCTCCCTTCCAGCAGGGCTTCCAACGGAATCCAACCCATGAGATATGGTTTACTGCGCCTGACAACGTGAAGACACCACAGGCACAAAGACTTCATCATGTTGCTATTCGTAATTTCCTGGCCATGTTGCACGGCAAACCCATAGTTGGATCGGACGTGTTCGATATGCTGAGCACGCTGCAACCTCAAATACACGTCATGTACGATCTTGACACCGACACAAGATCTGGAATGACAGCCAGGGAACGAAGCGTGCAGATGATTGTAGAATATCTCGGCCGTTATGGAATTGACGACCTGCGCAACAACATCCGACGAGCTCTAGGGCTTCTGGCTTGGGCAGAACAGGATAGCGTCAAGTGGCGACAGGGCTACCTCGAAAGCTTTGTTCACCTGGCTGGTGTCATGACACAGGAAATTGAGGATCATCCGGATTTCAAGCGACTGTCAGTAGTCACAAGGCGGAACCTTGGATTGGCTGCCAAGACGCTGCAGTTGCGCGTCATGGAAGCCGAGGAGAAGCTGTCCACATTCGATTTTGGTGATCTTTGGGAGGACAAGTTGAAGACCGTGAACAGTCCAGTCTACCAAAGCTATCAATCGTTTCGCCAGTTCCTTATCGGGCATTTCACACGCATCTACGGTAACTGGCCGCCGACTTCCGACAAGACATGGCTTAATCGCAAGGTTGTAAATGCCATGCAAGAAGACTTTGGTTCGCTATATGACTACTTCGTCGATAGGGAGGTAATATGGAATCCTCGAGAGGAGCGGGCCTCCCGTAAGTGGGAAATGGCCCATAGGAAGAACGACAGCTTCAGGGCAGACCTGCCAGAGCTGGGGATGACAGATATGCTGGTCACCTACGATGCGAAGAATGGATATGCGCATATCCCGCATCCGTACCCTTTACTTCCAAGAGAAGTGCCAAAGACGAGTAAAGACAAGGAGAAGAAAAGCTTCTTTTCGTCGTTGAAGAAGGACAAACCCAAGGATGCTACGAAAGATGCGAAGGCACAGCTGCAGCTCTCCATCATATTCAGCGATGCAACGAACATTGAGAAGCTAGATGTCAACTTCAACGGTAATTGATACACGACTGCCATATTGATGACACGTACTGACACTCGATAGGATCTACACTTATCGACAAGTTTGAACAGTTTGAGCTCACCACCGACCTGAAACACATGTCACCACGCGAAGCCCGTCTCGGACGCTGGGTCCTCCTCTACGGCATCCTCCAAGTCCTCTCAACCCTATCCGTCGATGTCCAGGGCCTCAGACACACCGACGGCGTCCGCTCCTTCCTCAACACCGATCTAAAGCGCATGCCCGAGTGGGTAAGCAACGGCCAGATCGAGCACCGAGAAGCCCGTCAACAACGCTCCTGGTGCTGGCAGCGCGCCTGGGACCCCATGCCCGCGCAGTCCGCACCCGTAGAACTCGAAGCCACATCAACCAATGCGAACGAGCGTACGAACCACCACGATCACCAAGAAGCACGACGTGCAGAGATATCCGCGCATAATTTCCCCAGTCCACCGCCTCAACACGCTCTTCCGCCGCCGCCTCCGACTGCGGTTTCGCATAATCTCGACGGCGCAACGTTGATGCAAAACGACATTCGTCGTCTCGGCGAGAAGATTAATAACCTCTCCCTGTCCCACAACGCAGGTGTACATTTCAGGCAAGAATTTGAACGGCGCCGCGAAAACGAGAAGGTCATCCAGGACGAATTCCACGACCGCAAACCGCGATTACAAGGCGAGACGTTCGGACCAAGGGCAGCTCGGGATCAAGCAATCAACAACAACAGCCACATCACCAACATCAACAGAAACGACACCTACTCCCCACCCCGCCTAGACTCCCTCGCCCTCCCCCCTCTCCCAAACTCCCACGCCAACACCCGCCCCCGTTCCCGCGACCGCGACCGAGACCGCCCCCACCCCTCCCAACGAAGCACCTCCCGCCTAGACGCCACATTCCTCCTCACAGACTCCGACTACTCAACCCCCAGCCACCACACCAACGACTTCATCGACCGGCAACAAGCTTCTCTCCTCCCACCACCCTTATCCCTGCACACCAACTCGCGTAGTCATACAGCTAGTTTGACAACAGACATAGGCCACTATCCGTTTGGTGCGGGTGAGAACGAGGGGGATGGGGAGGGAGAGATGCAGTGGCCGGTCCCGCCGGGGTATAATGAGAGTAATAGGGATAGACGGATGGATGGGGATGGCGGGATGGGGACGTGGAGGGAAGGGAGGGAGAGTACGGTGTTGGGGGATGGGTATCGGGTTATGAATTTTGAAGACGAGGAGTATGGGGGCAGAGATGGTGGGAGGGGTGCGGGTGCGGGTGCGAATGCGGGTGTGAGGAGGGATGCGAGACGCGTGAGGGAGAGGGGGACGTGGGATACGTGAGGCTGGGATTAGGTCGGAGTGGCGGAAAGGAAAATTTGGCATGCATTGGATTTGGAAATGTCTCGGCCTGGATATACCCTTGTTTTCGTTTGTGTTGTTTCTTTCATGGGCTGGAGTGTAGTATCAAAAGCAATAGATTGCATGTAGGGAAAAGGCTCCATAATGGTAGGGTACACTAGTCTTTTCGCATCGCGGATTATACGTGGTGAAGGTGCATCCTTGTTGTATTCGTGTAAGTTCTACTTATATCAGTCGAGCAGATGGGCGATAGTGTACATGTAGCTGTGTGTACTCATTACAACTTCACCAACACAAACCTCGTCGTTATACACTCCACAAAACCACGGTATTGGAAAGCCGAGAAGCATATTTCCATACAACAGGCCCGTTTTAGGTAAGACTACCTAACAACCAGACACACCAGAAACATACACACCACTCTACTTCTCCATCAAACTCTTCACCCACCCCGGCACAGCCGGTCTCTTCTCCCAGCCCTCCTTCCAACTCTCCCTCCACCCTTCTTTACTAGCCGGCATAGCAAACACCGCCGTAACAAACCACACCGTCTCCCCCTTTTTCACATCCTTCTGCAGAACCGGCAACACCGTCCTACTCTCCTGCAGATTACTATTCGCATCAGCCAGAATAACACTTCCCTCGCGGTTCGTCTGGTAAACATCCGCGATACCCACAGCGCCCGTACGGGGCGAAGCCGCGAACGCGGATGTGGAGTCTGAAGCGCCGCCCTCGGGGATGGACGTGTCTAGTGTACGCAGTGTGCCGTTCCATTCAGTAAGGAGACGGCCGTCTGATTCACGGGCTCCGTACACAGCCCACGCACCCTCTGCGCTCTTGATATCGCGACCAGATATCACGCGATGGACGCGGAGATGCCAGTTCGGCGTCTCTTCCGCCGGCGGCACAAGATACGACGTAATCTCCACATCGCCCCAGGGCTTCATACTCGACACCAGTACGGGCACGCCATCGAAGTTCTCAATCGACGAGTCCCCGTTCAGCGCTCTTCGCATCTTCCACAGCTCGCCGCTGTCGTCGGAGAAGGCGAGTTGCGACTCTGGCACGAATTGCTCGAGTTCTTGGTAGCCGGTGGAGACGGAGTAGGCGAAGGCGGCGCTGTAGGCGAATTTGCCGTATTTCGCGTTGCTGTTTTTGATGGCGTAGTGGCAGGATTGGCCAGAGGAAAGCATGAAGCTGTGGCCGCCTGAGCGGCACACGATTTGGCGGGGGTGAGGTAGCGGACGCACAACGCGCGTGTTGGCATATGGATGCGGTTCCTCTTTCGCGGACCAAAAGGGGTGGGATTCGGGTACTGCGAGACAGGCGAAGGCGAGCATGCACCAGTACGGGCTTTGAGGCGAATTGTAGTTCTCCGCGAGGTAGTAGTTGGGGTACGAGTAACCTACCGTGAGCATGCCGTTGGATTGAAAAATGTCGTGTTGCGTTGTCCACCACCGGAGATTGCGCATCCAGATTCCTTTTACTACGCCCCAGGAGAGGGGGGCGGGCAGCTCGAGGTCTGCGTACGCGATTGCGCCCCAGAAGGCGACCATGGCCCAGCGGTAGGTCAGTGAGCGGCCGAAGGTGATGGCGCGGCCTTCGGGGTCGAAGAAGTGGACGAAGTCCTGGGCGTACATGCGTGCGCGCTCTTTGTACTCTGCAGCTTGCTCTGGGTCGATGTCTGCGGCGAGTTTGGAATAGAGGAGTTGTAGGTATTGGATTGCAAAGGAGCCGGAGTAGTAGTCCATTTGGCGGTAGGTATCAGGTCCGTCGTTGGACCAGCCGTCGCCGCGGTAGTACGTGTTCAGCTGCTTGATGTCCTTCTCCAGCTGCTCTTTCGACCACTTTGCGCCATTCCTCTCGAGGCCCAGATTGGCGAAGACGCGGAACCAGAGCCTGACAGAACGTTAATGTCGCGTCTCATGACACACGACAAGGGGACGTGAAGGAATAAGAGGGCCATCATACCAATTCGTATCCGGCATCTTCTTATCATTCATACTCCCCAACCACGTCTCTACATTCTTCTTCTGCCTCTCCGTCAACGGATCCCAAAACTCTTTATTCGCAACCGCAAGCGTGAATCCAATCGGACACGCCTCCACCATCCTCTGATCCGTATCCTCCATATACCCCCAAAACTCCGGACTCTCAGGATCCGTCCCAGAAATGAGGCCTTGGACAAACTTGTCCGTTGCAGCATACTTGTTACCCCCAGCTAACAGAGGCGCAAGGCCCCATAGCGGGCGAGCGAAGCCTTCGACCTGCGCACCTGTCTCATCGAAGCGTGTACCTGTGCTGCCTACCTTGATCAAAGCATTGTTGGGTGAGAAACCCGGAATGAGGGGATCCAGCAGTGAGCCCACGGCGGCAACGACATCGTCGCGCGACTTGAGCGGATTCGTGGAGAAAGGATGGAGGTTGAACGCCCGATTGGCGTTTGCCGTCTTCGCCGCCATGCTTCGTGTGACCTAACGGTATTTGCTTCTGCGAGTGTGGCTTGACAACAATACGTGACGATCACTGACTTGACCGTGACTATCGCAACGCCAACTTCCGTGTTCCGCTATCTCCGCTGCGCGGACGATTATGTTCAGGCTTCCTTGGCGATGAGTTTGGCCTGGAAGAATCTTGAATGTAAGATGCGGGTGGATGCGTATTGGTGGTGTTAAGCGCAGCCGATTAATGCCCAGGAGCCCAGAACCCCAAGACGGTAGAACAAGATGCAGGCAGCGGATTGGGCGTACTGAGGCGAAAGGCTTGACTCCAGTACGGTATTCGATTTCGCCGTCGTCGAGCACAGTCGCAGACACACAGTCTTTCCAATGTTTGACGCTGTTCTCTTCGTTCGTGGGGTTGTTGAGTTTAAGTGACGGATGCAACGTATTGGTGATGCGCAACCTCGGTGCAAGATCGTACCAACACAATCCCGAAGCCTCTCTCATCAGCCTGAACACAATACAAAGTAGACAAGTAGACCAGCACCCCACGACCAAATTCGACAGGCCACAGACGTCCATAACCGTTCCACTCCACAAGTCATCCACAACGCCTCGCCCTCGACCCATCACGCGTCGGCGCGGTCGTGGGGCATCCCTCGCCCCGACCCCATCGCAGGTCTAATACGCGGATAAATAGCCACAACAACCGTAGCGCCTTCCTCAGCGGGGAGAAGACATGTGTCGGATTACTCACCTTGCCCAACACGGAAAGGTCGCAGGGCCGTTGCTTCCCATTCCACGCCCCCGCAAGAAAACGGAAGGACAGCGGGGGGAGACCCCAGACCGTGATCGAACCTGGAGATATTACTCTTGGCAACCCTTTGACATGCAATCCAACTCGCAACGCCACCCAGCCGTCAATTGGACGGAAAAAGAGGAGGACTTGGCACTTCCAAGACGGCCTTTCATAGCTCCCACTAATCCCACCGCGTGCTTTCCGCCGAGCCAAGGCTATCTCACTACCAAGCATGCTTCGACAGAGTGCGGCGCTCGTCCTGCATGTGCCCCATTGGCCGGAGCCACAAAGGGACGTTCATCTGATGCTCTCGGTACCCTGTTTGTGTGGCTAGCGGCAGCAGCTCTCGCTGTGTGTGGAGAGAAAGAGCAGTGTGGAAACGTGGAGTCTGGGGTCTTGAGTCCGGGGTTGATGGAGGATCACGATAGCTTGCAGGCCAGCCATGGGGCAAAGACCGCGGTGACGGACCAGGCGAGTTACCCCGTCTTGAGCAAGGAGCTAGTGCTGCGAGGATGGCGCATGGGCCGCTGTACCGTCTGGCTGTTTATATATCATGGCCATGCACATCCCACTGGGGAGCTTTTTTAGACCAGCAGTCTGCGGAGATCTTCACTCTTCTCTCGCTATTCTCTTCGAACGACACCTGGTGTGCTATACACCAGCGTCTGGTCTAGGGTCAAGCTTGTGGTTTGATTGTTCTGTCTGTCGGTATGTATTCGGTCCTTATGTCCTTCAACAGCTTCTCCATGTGTCATACATACTAAAGACAAGATAGATCTATACTCCCACCGACACGGTAGCATCCCCGATCTACCCGACATCATGGCAGCTCCATCCACCGGCGCGAAGTTTATTCGCATGATCGTCAAGAACGACTCCATCAAATCCGACCCTCACGAGATCTACGGATGGCGCGCCTTCGCCATGGCGGGTTCCGCCTGTTTTGGTGGCATGTTGTTTGGTTTCGATATCGGAACCATTGGAGGTGTGCTTGAGTTAAAGGAGTTCCAGGAGTGAGTCTTGCTTCTACACTTCAATTGCTCCGCGACACTGACAATCCTCCCAGCAAATACAACATCACCAACCTCGACAAAGTCGGCAAAGCCAACCTGAACGCCAACATTGCTTCCACCCTCCAAGCCGGATGTTTCGCCGGTTGCTTCATCGCCTCATGGGTAGCCGACCGCTGGGGCCGCAAGACCGCCCTCCAAATCGCCGGTCTCGTCACCATCGTCGGTTGCATCATCCAAGCCGTAGCCATGGGCGCCCTCGCAGCCATGTACGTCGGCCGCTTCATCGCTGGACTAGGTGTAGGAGGCGCCTCCATGGTCGTCCCTCTGTACATTTCCGAAAACGCACCCCGTGGTATCCGCGGTGGACTCACAGGTCTCTACCAACTCTTCATCGCAACAGGAACCTGCCTCGCCTTCTGGGTCAACTACGGATCACTCATGCATCTCTCCGGTGGCGCACAAGTCTACATTGTTCCTCTTGCTCTCCAGGCTCTCCCCGCCGTTCTCCTCGTTGGCTGCATGGCGCTGAACAAGGAATCCCCTCGTTTCCTCGCTAAGCAGGATAAGTGGGAGGAAGCTACTACAGTGCTTGCTCGCATGCGCAACCTACCTCACTCGCACGCCTATGTCCAGGACGAAATCAAGGATATCGCCGACCAGCTTGAACACGAGCGTATGCTCGTTGCGGGTGCAAGCGTCAAGGACCTTCTCAAGGAGATGTTTACTATCCCCGGTAACCGGAAGCGTGCTCTCATTTCCATCGGTCTCATGATCTGCCAGCAGATGACCGGAACAAACGCCATCAACTACTACGCGCCCCAGATCTTCGCCGCCCTCGGTCTCAAGGGCAATTCCGTCAAGCTCTTCGCCACAGGTATCTACGGCATCGTCAAGATGGTCGGCTGCTTCGCTTTCCTCATCTTCGCCGCTGATTCGCTCGGTCGCCGCCGTTCGCTCCTCTGGACATCGATTGCCCAGGGAATGGCTATGTTCTACATCGGCATCTACATGCGCGTCGACCCGCCGATTATGGGCGAACCAGTACCAGGAGCTGGATACTTCGCTCTCGTCTGCGTGTTCCTCTTCGCCCTGTTCTTCCAATTCGGTTGGGGCCCCGTATGCTGGATCTACGTGTCTGAAATCCCCGCCGCTCGTCTCCGCTCCCTCAACGTTGCCATCGCCGCTGCTACACAAGTACGTCCTAATCCTACCCCTTCTCCCTCTATACTTTCCCCACATAAAAACACATAACTAACAACCCCCCCAGTGGCTCTTCAACTTCGTCGTCGCGCGCGCAACCCCCAACATGATGGCCACCATGGGCCAAGGCGGCTACGGCACCTTCTTCACCTACGGCGCCTTCTGCTTCTCCATGTTCATCTTCGTCTGGTTCCTCATTCCAGAGACCAAGGGCCTGTCGCTCGAGAAGATGGACGACCTCTTCGGTATCACCGAGTTGGTCAAGAACATGGAGGCGGACCGTGAGAACCACGCTGATGACATGGATGCTAAGAATGCGACCGTGGTCAGGGAGGAGAAGGTCGGTCATTAGATCGACAGATCTCGGAATGATTGATGTTCGCTGGTTTATTTACTGTTTGGGGTTGGCTAGGCGGCTGGAGCCTAGTAGCCTGGACATGTTGTAATGAAGTCATGGGCTTCGTGCCGCTCTTTGCACAGTTTCTTGGGTTTTGTGACCGAGACATTGTGATGGTGAGGGTGTGTGAGATGCGAACGCTACTAAATGACTGTATGAGCAAGAAACATTCCATAATTCGTGATATATATACTATGCAGGTACTCAATGCCGAAGCAAAACCCCGTACAATTCCCATCTCACGTCCCTACCAACGCCGAATGCATTGTCGTATCGTAACGCACGGCACCTAGCACGGCTCCTACTCCAAACATCCCTCACACATCCCCCTCCTATTTCACCCTCCCCTCCCCCTTCCCTTATCCCCCTCCCTCCACCTACTCCCTACCAATCTCCCCCTCATCCAAAATGCCCTTCTTAACCAGCTCCTCCGGGCTCGGCCTGGCCTGCAACCCCTTCTCCAAATTATCCGCGCGCATATGCATATCGAGTTCTTTCTGGTGTCCTTGCAGGGCAGGCGCGGCGTTGGAGGCAGGAAGGATGTTGCGCTCGATGAGGTCGGCGCGTTCGGGGCGGGCGTTGAGGCCTTTTTTGAGTTGGTCGGTTGCGCGTTGGCGCTCGAGTTCGAGGGCTTTGGCTTGGAGGGCGCTGGTACGTGTCCCGCGTTAGCGGGGCTCTTGGTGTAAAATAGGAAGAGGGGGATGGGGTCGGAGAAGGGAAGTAGGAGGAGGTGGAAGGGTGAAAGGGACGTACGGAGCAGTCGTGGTATCCAGCAGAATATGTCTGTTCTTCAGATCCTGCGGCTCAGGCCTATGCTGCAAATGTTTCTCCAAACTGTTCCGGCGGTCCAGAGAGCGAACGGGCGAGATGGGCGTCTCGTCGACGATGACCTCAGCCGCGCTTTCGTTCTTGATATCCTCGGTCGCCATGTTGGAGTTAACTCGTCAGTTCGCTCGACGATATCGAGGTTGAGTGAGTAAGTAAGTAAGTCGAGCAAGCGGTAAGTAGTTCAAGCAGGTGTGGGTGTGATCAAAAGGGAACTTGTGAAGCTGCAGATATGGGCTAGCTCCAGGTACTTGTACTTGTCCGCACTCGAAGAGCAGCAAAGCAAGCTGGTTTGTCGGGTGCCTGCCTGAGCTTCCAAGCTCCCTCCCCCATCACGTTGCACCGCACCACCCCGACCGCGGCTTGGTTGCGGGGCAGCCGCACATCCCTGCATGAGCAAACCTTGGAAGCGCGTCAGGTGTGTGACGGGCGTCACCTACGTACGCCGGATGAGCGACAAACAAAACATCATTGATCTCCCGAGGTTTCCATCTGACATTCTGCCATGGCAACAGCTGTCATTCATCCTTCCTTCGTACCCTTGATTGTGCTTGGGGGGTCATCCAGGTACACAGCCACTGCCTTGATTTCGCTTTCGCGTCAGCCGGAAGCTCGTACCTGACCGCCAGAGCGTCCATGCACCCCAGCCGCCTGATGTCACGATGCGGCGGATGAGTCTTTTTACGTTTTTCTCGTTCAAGGCGCCGAAAGGTGCAGCGACGCAGTTGTGAGGCTGCAGTACAGATGGGGGACCCATAGCTTGGGCAGCTACTACCTGCGGTCGATCATCTGGGGCGCAAGTGCATGAGTGGGTAATTACGGCGTTGGGGCGGCTTTACTACTAGTTCAACGACAAACACGCTAAGCTGAATCTACACGAGAACGGCCTGTACAACAACGTCAATGCTAACTATAGTAAACTTCTGTCATCTGTTTGGAAATGTGGGTGAGTGTTTGGATGAGCAGAGCAGTCACAGATAGCTTTGGAGGAGAGGAATGGAGGTGTATAGGCATATTCTTTGTATACAATATCCTACATACCATACTAAACATCATCACCAAAGAAAGCTACAAGAAAAAGACCGACCATCATCTACCACCACCTCACAACTCACACCCATCCCAACCTAAGCCGACTGACAAGCCGTAACAGTCTCAGTCTTCGTCCCCGGAACCGTCGTAACAGCGGCGCACGCCTACACAAATCACCACCACAGTCAGCTTACTAGATCCACCAATAGCCAGAATAGTATAGAAGGGTACGTACCGGTCCAAGACCTCCAAGGTTAATCGTCTCAAGCGCACATCCAGCGCAGTCGGTGAAAACAGTAGACGTCGTCGTTGTGGCGTTGAAGGTACAGGTTCCGACTTGGATGTCAGGGAATGTGAAGACAGTCTTGGTGCAGGGTGTAGGCGATGGCGTGGGAGAGAGAGAAGGAGGTGGTGTCGTGAGAGGTGACGAGGATGCTAATTGCATCAGGAGAGTCGCGACAACGACGGAGAAGAGTGATGAGAACATGGTTGGTCTTGGTGATGCTGGAAGGTATCGATGTTGAGTGACTTCAACAACGAGCCAAGCATGCCAACTATATAGACATCTGAACAAGACATCTCACTAAGTGAGATGAGATGAGGTCAAAGGGTTAAAGGGCCAAATTACATCACTCGTATTGTTCATTGTACTGGTGCGGCAGCTTAGAAGAGCTCGGCGGTAAGCCGGCACGGATTCATATGGAAGAGAGTTCGAGATCAATATCATTATCGCATTAACTATGAAACGTCCATATTATGGGCGTCCAATCCCGTGACTATTGACAAGCCTCCAACTCCGGTAATGAGAAAGTTACATCATTGAGGAGAGATACTGCCTAAAGGACAGTTAGAAGCTGAACATGCCGCGTACGCTTTTTCCATCTTGGTCACTGGTTCCGGCCCTCTTAGTCAAGGTGAACCATGCTTGTCGAATCAATCTGTACTCGTGCTATGACACAGCTGACATGCTCACGAGAGTAAGACATTTGTGCTGATGAGGTACATTTAAGCACCGTCATCCTCACCAATGCGGATGGCACCCTCGCGGCTGAGACCGTTGGCCCAGAAGCCGTTAAGCTCAACATCGCTCTCGCGCATGTTGGCGTGGGCAACCAAGAGCCAGGCACCGAAGACAGCCTTGGCGAGGACATCGAGGACAGCGTAGGCAATGATCTCAGTGTCGACACTGGCCTTGCGAGCACCATCGGCAATACCCCAGACACTGAACGGGTTAGTACAAAATCGGGAGGCGTGGGTGTTGATGAGACTTACATGGGGTAGGCAGTCCAGAGGACGGCGGTGTAGGCAGCGATGGAGATGAAGAAACCGCGGAGCTTGTCACCCTTGGCGCGGGCGTTGGCACCACCGTTAAGACCAAGGTGCCAGAAGACGAAGAGGAAGGCAATGCACGAGATGGTGTACCAGCCCCACTTCTGGGCAGTGTCCTCAGTACCGAAAGCAGCGAAGAGACCAGTGAGAACCATGATGATGTCGGCAACAACCATCATGATCATGTGTCCACCAGACATGCCAGCAAGGAGACCGAGGTCGAGGAGCAGGAGAGGGGTGGTGATGGTCCAGTCGACGTAACGGGCCCAGTAGACCTGGCGGTAGACGACGTTGTAGGTGTCGGGGACGTGGTCGTGCTGCTCGCGCTCGACCTCCTTCTTGAGGGAGACACCAGCGCCGGAGGCCATGGCGAAGTAAGAGAGGGCAGCGGTGAGGGTGATGATGGTGGTGATGACATGGTAGAGGCGCTTGTTCTGGGGGGTGTTAGAGTTTGCTCTCTGAAGTAGCTTCAGATGGTACTCACCAAAGGCACCTTCCAGGACATGACGGTGAAACCGGCAGAGGCGATCAGCATGAGAACAAAGACGACCCAGAGGGTCTTCATTCCAGCATCGCCGGCAACCTCGTAGGTGGGCTCAGGTCCGGGGGCGACGGTTGGGATGGGAGCAACCGAAGGCAGCGACGAGGCCGTCGCGGTGGGCAGCGGGAACATCTCCGAGGTCTTCTTCAAGACTTCCTCAATCATGATGGCGGTTTGGTGTTGTGATGGGACTCCGGGACCTGTACAGCAACAATTGGTGCTGAGGGATCTATGGGAGAGTTGACAATGAGAAGCAGGAAGAGGGTGAGACGAGGCGGAGTTATAAAGAGGAGAAGCTAGGCAGCTATGCGGTCACCTGTTGGAGCTGCGGCAGGAGCTATACGAAACAGGAATCGAGACGTCATAGCCCCTCACGGCATGCACTATTGATTGGTTCCCGCTACGGCCTGCGTGAGAAGCAAGGATGCGCCAACGCCAGCTCTGCGCCTGGAGCTTCAGAATAAGGGTCCCCGCCGCTGTGCGGATGCAGGTTTATCGCGAGAGAACTGTCAAGCTGTCTGTCAATTCACCCCATCTGCGCGTGTGGTTGTGACATTGAGCGCTCTCGTGGGGTGGGGCGGGCTGGCTGGCGAGAGGTACTTTGGTACATCATCAGTGCTTCATCACGCCAAGCCGTCCAGGATGTTCCCCACAGCAACGCGCTGTGCACGCCCCCAGCAGCTCCCACTGCTCCCATTCTAGCCCTGGCAAACCGGTTTCAGTACCACCGATTGTATTAACTTTTCGATCTCCTCCTCCGTGCGCCGGCATGTGTCTCATGGATGGGTCCCACGATCGCCTCGATTCTATCGAGTTTGCTGACATCGCCATGCCCATCGAGCTGTGCTCCGAGTATATGCGACGCGACCCCGCCCGCTGTACATTGGCGCGCGTTTTACATTCCGTCAGTCCACAGCCCCTCACGGTGGTGTGATGTGGACCAACCATCCAGAGCTACTCGACAGCCGAACGGCCCGAAGTGCATAGCTTTGCACTTTATAGCCAGCATCCCAGACGACTCTTCATTGTAGACGCGCATCGCTGTCCATCACCTCATGTGTTGAGACAATACCTAGGTACATGTCACCGGATCACGCGGCAGTGCGGAGAAGGCGGAGTGCATACGCCTGTACACCCTCACATCAGCGCGGCCGGTCAAACCTAGATGCAGTTACCTGCTACAAGTGGTACTGCGACTTGCGTAGATCGACAGCCTTGTACGTTGTATCTGGCAATGCGCCAAGTAGGTACATCGCGACAGCCTCATCAGCTGAACAGAAGATTTCCACCGCTTCACCAATATGTACAGATCTTCGCGCAAGCCTGTCAGGCCTTGTCGGCTACCTGCTCGGTACTTGATGACTTCGTAAGCAGCTTACCTCCCTGAAGCCACCCTTCTCTTTTTTGGCTGTCGTCCAGATAGTCTTTATGTGTCAAGGTTCCGGCACGGTTCGGAATTGTCCTTCAAGATCTTTCAACAATATCGAAGCGCCAGCTTGATCGTGCCTTCTGATCTGGGCGCCTGCATCGTAAGGAACTGCTAGTCGGAATTCGGAAGAGTCGGAATGGTTGCGCCGTTGGACAAGAAGTTCAGCATCGAATGCGCGCAAGCTAGCGACCTCATTTTGCATTCTAGCCAGGAACGCATCCAGTATTTTCCATCAGTGTCTGTAATAGATGCACCGCATCCTGCAGTACCGCGCGACGCCGGTGACCAGGCACTCTCGTCTTTGAACCACTGCGTCTATTCCAGCCCGTCTCGTATTTGAACGAGGGCCCAGGTCGTGTAAGACGGGCATCGCGCTGTCGCCTTCATGTACCTCGGTCGAGGCATGCGGCAATGCGGCTTCAGAGATTGATGTAGACGTGGGCCTGTTGAGGTTTCGGCAGGTCCTAGCTCAAGTAAGTGGAATCGGGCCTAGGATTGCGGCTGACTGCTACTGAACGCACGTTCGCCGCATCGTAACAACCGCGACGTCGCACATGCCACACCAACACCATGATTGAAAAAGTCCCACGTTCAGCGCGCTCTCGAAGGCACTTTACATACGCCTCCCCCCACGGGTGACAGCTATACTGGACCCCATAGGCTCTGCAAGCTATGCACCAGTGGAATATTCGCCCTTAGCGTGCCATCAGGGTACTCTGAGTAAGACCCTTCTGGTATATCGCCCGCCTTCACACGTCCAACCAGTTCCGTAC